AACGATGGCATCTACTCTGCATCCTCGGCCTACAAGGCCCAGTTCCCGGGTTTGGTTGACTCCAACATGCAACAATTAGTGTGGACGATCTGGGCTCCCCCCAAATGCAAATTCTTTGCTTGGCTCGTTATCAATAACAGGATCTGAACGGCCGACAGGCTTCAACGTTGGGGTTGGCCTAGCTGCGCCCGTTGCCCCCTATGCAAACAAGTTCAAGAATCCGCGGTCCACCTACTGTTCCAATGCCGCTACACGGTTCGAGTTAGGGGAATGATCAAGTCTTGGCTTGGCTTGGTGGATGTGCCCCCTTCTGCTTGGATGGCCATCCATTCGGTAAAGGCCTGGTGGAACCTTATTGATTCCAGTATGCCGCAATCTAGACGGCCGATGATGTCCCTCATTATGCTTATCTTGTGGGAAATTTGGAACGAGAGAAACGCACGTGTGTTCCGTAACACCGCTGTGCCCGTAGGGGTTCTTGTTGCTAGAATCAAAGATGTATCCAAGCTATGGTGTCTTGCAGGGGCAAAGTATTTGAGTAATTAGTGCCGCGAGAGTAATGTGTTGTAATTCGGCTTTTTTGGCCAAAACCTCTAAACCTTCTTCTTAATCAATGAAAGTGGCATATCTTTTGCCCAATTTAAAAAAAAATAAGTGCTGGGATCCAAATAGCATATGTCACGATCAACCAGACAGCAAATTTAGACACCGCACATGAGGAAAAAAGGAAAGAAGGTGACACAGTGGCGGAGACAGGCCTAGGGCAACTAGGGCTATAGCCCCAGGCCTAGAAACAACTTCCTTTGTAATTTCTTCATGCAAATCATAGAAAATCATAGAAGTTTATCACTCAACATAGCACAGCCCCAGGCGTAATCTGCATCTAGCTCCGCCACTGAGGTGACAGACAGGGATTGGTATGGTGTGGGCAAGGAAGAAAAACACAGCTAATTAGCAGAGTAACGAAGGTGACCTATTGGGAATGAGTGCTGGAGGAGGGGAAGAAAGGATCGACGAAGGTGACAGTCATCAGTGTGGTGTGGTGTGGTGTGGGGGATGAAATGAAATGGGATAGGTGACGGTCGCATAACGAAGAATGGAGGATGCAGGATTCCTTTCCTTTCATACTTTGGATGGACATCGATCACCGGGCATATGATGCATCCTTGACAAAGCGCGCCATCGCCATGGAATCATGGCCGAAACCCCACCGCCCGCTCCGGCGGTACATGTTTCTGTCCCGTCGTCACGGCCGTCCGTCTCTCGTCTCCGGTTCAATCGCTCGGTGATCGCCGTCATCGGGATCTTTGCCGGACGGAAAGGCTCTCTCGTTCGCCTTCCGCCTTCCGCCAGCTACAACGCACATCAAATCCGCGATCAGCCCGTCGATCCCGCCGTCCACAGCCGTCGGGCCATCAGCTTTAAAGACTCTGTTTTGACGGTGCCGGTGGGTCACAGCTACGCACGGAGCCAGAGACACAACAGTTATTAGCGACGTGACGGCACCGCCATCATTAGCCGGCACGACGCCCGGCTTGAGAGGCCCCTGCCGACGCTGGCTGGCGCGTATCCAGAAGTTCTCGTGCTCCAACAGAGCTTCCTCCCGTCCATCCACTTTTTACACAGGAGCTCGCTCGCTAGAGGGACACCTTTCAGCAAAGATCAATCAAAAGGATGAAAATCCCCATGACCCCACCGACTTTTACCCCCCTCGGTCATCACCCGTGATAATCATCGACTGACAATAGTCCCATTCCTACGTGCCACTGCTAGTGATCGATTGATCGATCACAGCCTCCGCTGGATCTGAAGAAAAATGCTGGATCGGTCGACCGACGGAGACGCAGCTCGGAATTCCGGGAGGCCATGATGTGCCGGCGCCGGCGTGCACGCGCCATATATCCACGGACCGATCGGTCGATCTCACGTGGTCACGGACGCCGGCCCGGTCCAACTCATCGCATGTGGAAAAATGATGGATCTAGCCGAAGATCACCAAAGTCGTAGGATCCGGTGCCCGTTTTTTGGACTAATGCATCTTGTTTCTTCCGCGGAGGAGAATGAGATACTCCGTAGATGCGATCATGCGATCGACGCAACGCGAAGCAATCATCATCATCATTCGTCCCGGCCCGGCCCGGCCCGGTCCGGTGGCCACCACCACCGAATCCCGTCCCACACGACGACCTGCGCTGCGCATTCGGGGCCGCCAACCGACCGATCGATCGAGACCACACCACACCACACGCACCTGAATAAAATTTGTGTTTTCTCGGATCGGGTAGAGAGGGATCGATCGGCCGAGGAGTGATTCAGGCGGATGGGATGATTTGGAATGCAAGTTAGAGCGGGCATGAGTGGATTTTGTTGCCCGCCATGATTGTTCATCATCCGTTGCTTGGCTTGGGAAGAATTTCGTAACCACCACTGCTCGCGCGAGCCCGTCTCCATCAGATCGGTTTGCGCCATCGATCGCGTGGCTACATTGCGCAAGTCTTTTCTGGTGTACATTGGCAACGCATCAATGATCTCTTCGCTTGGTTTTACTATCTTTCCGTCTGGTCATCAAGTGCTTCTACTAGCTAGCTGGTGGTAAAAGAAAAGAAAAGAAAAGAGTATTACTAGCATTATTACTCGCTAATTATTACCACGAGGGGGGCAAACCTTCAAGGGCGCAATGATCTTCCCGGGCATCCTACGTCCATCCAGCCAGAGATCGATGATGAGACGGTACATCTGATCAGGGGAGGAGGGGGAGGGGGGGAAAGCAGAGCGAGAAATTCCGGGGAAAATCATTAAAAGGGGGATTTCAAGGGCGCAATGATTTTTCCCTACCATCCGTCCAACCAAAGCTGGTGGTAGATCAGAGAGGGGGGCAAAAAAAAGCGGCGATAAAAAAGGAAAAGGTTTAGGGAAAGTAATCTTTGGATCAAGCTAAAGCCAGTACTACTACTGCTTAAGTTAAGCAAGTCATGTAGTAAGCTAAACCAAACCAGTGTGTGTATGAGTGTATCCATGTTTGTGAACAGAAAGAAAAGGTGGAGCGTCCGTGCGTGCATACTGGTTTATTCACATCTGGAGTAGCTCAAGCTGATCGTTAATCTGCACACACCCTGCTCTGCTTCCACACGTGCGAAGCTCACCTTTGCTTTATTCCCTGCAGCGGCAGCAGCAGCCTCTGCAAAATATCGCGACGCAGTGGCATCTCTGATCTGCTGCAGGTTGTCAAACTACGTGGAAATTGCACCGGCACTTCTCGTACTGTGAATGAATTTCTTCTGAAATTTCCGTGTAAAATTTGCAGTAATAAGAAGCAAATTTACAGCTCTAGAACAATTCAAGCACATTTTATACGCGGCGCCACCGGTAGCCATACGAATCATTGCGGCGCCAAAATGTGCATCATTTTAGGGTAGCAAGTAGCGACCACTCGAGGAGTATAATGAGACGCCGGCGGATTTAATCAGCATCGTGATTCGTGGATTATGATGGAAAATGCCTGCCTGCCATGATGGTTTCCACCAGAGTACTCACCACCACTACTCAACTCTATACAGACAGCCTACGGACCCTGTCGTTGCCAGCACTGATCACTGCCGTGACCCATGCCGTATCTGTGGATCGCGTGTACGCATACGAATTCGTAGCTGTGGCGATCGCCCTCCGCCGCTCTGACGAGCCAGCCGAGCCGGGGAAGTTACCGTCACGGCTTCCACCGGCCGGCCGGCCGGCCATGATGGCGAATATATCAGCGAATAAAATCACTCGCCCCTCATCATGGAAAGCTCCCTCGGAAGATATATCTATCCATCGATCGATCGACCGGTCGATCTCGTCGTAGCACAGGGCCAACAGATCAAGATCAACCATCCAACTGCCATTACCCACTGTTTGCTGTTGCTGTTTACAAGAATTATTCTTCATGTCTGTCTGTTTATCTGCGGAGGAGGAGGGGTAACGTCAACGAAGCTTGGGACAAGGGGAAAATGTGGCGCCGCGCAGGAGTGCGTTATGATGCTCTTGGGAGATTATGGGCGCAGAAGAATCCGGGCCGATGGGGACAAGCTGCCGCTCGAATCTACTCATGAAAAGCATTCAAAGCTACGCAATGAGAGGAGGGGAGGAGGCCATTCCTCATCATAATTGTGTCGATTCCACCCTTGTAATCATGCACTGACCGCCCATTTCGTTTGCGCCTTCGATTACTAACAAAAATCTGCTTAGCAAAAGGATAACACGGGGTAAGTTGTAGTGCTGGGCATGTTGGTTGGCTCAAGTTCCACATTCTGAAACGACTTAAATTCTGATCATGAAAAAAAAAGGTTGAATAGCAAGAACTTGTTGGGTTGGCTTGCCTTCCGTGGTCCCGCTAATCTTGAGGTGGATTAAGAACCCCTCGACTTAGAAAAAACATACTCCCCCTGTTTTAGGGGGGATTGGATGATTTGCCCAACTTTAAAAAGGGTTGGATGATTTGCCCTGTGATTGTCTCAATGACAGTGGCCCCGGGCCCCACCCGGTAGCCTCTCAGGGGGGGGGGCAAATGATCTTATGAAGAAGTAAAGTGGGGCAAAAGATCCAATTTCTCCCTGTTTTAGTTAGTCCTAAGACATCTTATATTTGTTTATGCAGGAATGCATGTAAACCGTAGCTTAGTTATGACGACCCCCTCCCCCCCCCCCAAAAAAGGGAATGCATATGAGCTACCGTT